GGAATATAGCCTTCGATTGAAGTAATGATTCAACGAGAACGGATTTTTTGAATTGCACGAGATTAGAATACTTCCCATAAGATGAATCACATTGAGATGCTATGAAATATGATTATTGAAGTATAGTATCGTACCTAAGGTGGATCAAGCAAATAACTTCAGATGTTAGCCGACGAGATGTGACCCCTAGTGAAAATGTATTGTGTAAGAAGTTTCAAGTTAGTGGATTGCAGATCAACATTAAGGTGAATCAACAAAAATATAGCAATAGTCGTAAGATCGACGAAGCACCAAATAAAGAATTTCAGTACACCTACCGATGCCAGAGGAACAACTTGTCATAGTTCTGTATATATTTGCAATGTGAGGCCTAGAGATTCTAAAAGCTGGAGAAAAAGGGAGATAAGTATTGCGTAGGCCTACGTACAAGGACAGGGTCGTACATGATGCATGATAGAAGGTAGCAACAGTTACGAGATTGGAAGAATTACGACCAGTTGTGGTGTAAGAAAGGGGCCTAAAGGGGGAATGCCCTGGCCTTTGGATTAATTCACAGAACAGCTGCCTAGATGGCAAGGACAATATTAAAGTATTCGTAAGAGTTGTAGGTTATGAGACTGATAAGAGCATCAGCCACATTCGAGGACAAATGTTTCAAAGGGAGAATAATGTTACACCTCATGTTTTTGTACGTAAAAGTATGTCGTAAGTCAATTGATGTAAGCTCGGAAATGAAATCCTATTTGAAAGTATATAAAGTAAGTTAATAATGTTACCTTGAAGGTTTCAAACATTTAAGATCATGATAAGCAAGTACCAGAGGGATAGAAGGTTTAGAAGCTAATCATAGAAAATAAGTTTCATTGAAAGTTAGGAATGTTATAACCCGTACTTTGGGGTGCAACTAGGGTATTTAACATGATAAGAAGGTGATGTTATGAGGTATTTTAGTTGTATGATAGTCGTGTGTTATGCTTTGAAGTCAAGAGAGTTATGAAACAAAAGTTGACAAAAGTCATCACAAGCTACATTTATAAATTTTACTGAAATTTAGGTCTAATATTAATAAGTTTTTCTCCCAATATACTTGGAGTTACAGGGAGACCCACCCACCAAATTGAAGGCCTATGAGTCTAGTTTCCAACTCATTAAAGCGTTTGTCATTATGACATTAGAGTAGAGAGATATTTACATTTTTGCGAGACTGTGCAAACCGGTATGTGACAAGTAGGTGCATCACCTACTTGCTTAAATGAAGGGACCAAATAAATCACCAAAAAGGGGTGGATTGAGGGAGGCCAAGGGGCCATTTATATGGGCTGATTCTCTCACCTTTTAAACATAATTTCCTGAGATAAACCTAGGGTAAACAACCGTGCTAAACCTCCCCCAAAAATCCCACACAAACCCTAGGTGATTTCGGGTGATACGAAGTGATTCTAGTGCCGAAAAACCCAGACAGCTTGTTGGTTTCCTTTTCTCCTTCTTGTAGCTACATTGGGGGACTGACTTTGGATAAAGAGGGACTAGGTTTCGCGGTTTCTGCTTAGTCCTAGGTAATTTTATACTTCTCTTTCCCTTACCTAAGCTTTTACGAGTTGTAACTCGACCGTAAAGACTAGAACTTACGAGTTTTGAAAGTGTAATATGTTGTTTGTTGTTGCATCACTATTGGCTGGTTGTGAACTTATTTTTATGTTGAGTTCATGGTTGGCTTATATGAGAAGAGGCTTAATTATGTACTATTGGTTGTGTTGCTCGATTTGAAAGAAATGACAAGTCGGAAACGTATTTAGTAATCTGAAAAATTAATTTTGAGTTGTTGAACTTATGGGACTATTATAGGGTCGTTTTAAAATTGTATTGTGGCTAAAAATTAGTAGGAATGATCGAATATGTGGCGGTTAATGTGGTTGATAAATTCTGGAAGGGAGGAGGTTTTAAACTATAGTGGTTTAGTCACAAATCGAGCTTGCCGCTCATTGTACTACTGTTTGAAGTTAGAATTGTTCTACGTTGTTGAGGGGCAGAATAGATAGGATTAGTTGTTGATATTGTTGTTTGTTGCTGCTTTGAATTCGAGGAAATGAGGAAATATAGGGGGAGTGCTGCCCAATTCTCCATAAAAGAGCTACTAGCTTAGAAATGAGTTTTAAGTTCTGCTATGGTAGTAACTATAGTTCTAATATCTTGATGTAGGTTGAAGTACTACGGGCTATGTATATTGAGTCGTTACATACAAAGGTATATTAAGGCTTATCCTTCCTTCTTTTGGCATGATCCAGGTAACAAAACGTAAATGTAAAGTTATTTCATAAATGGTCTACTCTTAGTAGTTAAGGGTGTCTACGTTATTCATTCCTATGAAATGTAATTCAAAGCATGTCCAAGTATGTTCCTAAGTCCCTATTGAGTATACGATAAAGATGTCCTAATGATCGTAAAAGGCTCTTCATGCATTTACCATTGAGATACGGCTGATTGAGCAGTTACGCATTTACCACCGAGTTACTGTCAGTCGGGTAGTCATGCATTTACCATTGAGCTACGGTCGGTTGGGCAGTTATGCATTAACCATAGAGCTACAGCCGGCTGGGCAGTTACCACATATCAGTTAGGCAGTCTTACGATATGGATAATAGTCCCAAAGAGAGGCATTAAATATTAGTATGAATATCATGGCTCGTTGTGGCACTTTAGAGGTACAGGTTGATTCTTATTTATCTCTCATTGATGTTGGCTTATTGTTACATTTCAGTCCCCTTACATACTCGGTACACTATTCGTACTAACGTCTGCTTTCATGCCTGCAGGTGTAGGTAATCAGTTTGAAGAGTCCTCATAATAGACGAGGTTAGCATCAACGAATGAACGGTAAGACTCCACTTCATTTGGAGTGCAACCGAGTCTATAAGTTATCGTTGTCAGAGTTTTGCTACAGACTTATGGATAGGCTGGGGCCGTGTCCCGACCATCTTTTGATGTCAAATACTCTTTGAGGCTTTGTATACACAGGTTCATTATGTACAGTATGTCAGAGACCTTGACGTCCCATGTGTATTCATGTTTTGAGTACGATGGTTCGTTGTACCCTATTTGCCCACTTACAATTATACATTATGAGTTGTGGCCATATTCCCATGATAGTTACCGAAAGAATGAGTTCAGCCAAGTCGGCCTATGTATGTTCTAGTTTTCGTCGAACGATCATGATTTGTTCTAACTTCCACTGCCGACGGCCCGCCATTACCCCAGGAGATATTCTCAAAAAAAGTCTAACCCGAACTCGTCAACTGCCATGACTCTGGCACCTCTATTACGGACTTTAGCCCATCGTGAATAAGAATTCCTTTCCATTATCTAAAAAAGTTGAATTAAATCTATATAGCCTTTTGAATACGTCTCCAAGGATACTGGAGGCACCACCACACAATTTGCCGCAATTCCCTTTAACATTTGAAACCCCAGTTGACCCCCTTGATTATATTGTCACTGGGTACATGGAGACGTAAAAATTGCACGGGGCGCTCTATTTGGTCGTCCCCATTTAACCTATATCCATATTTTTAAAATTATTTTACTCATACCCTAATTTTAACAACTTCAGACGCTTCCTCTTCTTCCTCCTGACATATGCGTTCGCCAATAGCAGCGCCTAACTTCAGACTCAAATGTCTGAAGTTTATACTTTAGTATCTGAAGTATATATCCCATATGTTTGACAATCTTAGCCAAATATCTAAAGTTCATAACCAAATGTGTGAAGTGTATGTCAAAATATTTGAAGTTCATATCAAAATGACTGAAGTTCATAGAAAAATATCTGAAGTACATAATTGAACTGATGTTTGCCCTTGCTTATGAACTGAAGTTTGCGTGATTGCCTCTGCAAGTCAAGCCAAACTTCAGGCAAAAATATCTGAAGTTTTGCTTTGATAGGGCTACACTTCAGGCAAAAAATTCTGAAGTTCAAACTTTAGACATACACAATTGAACTGAAGATTGACCTTGCTTATGAACTGAAGTTTGCGTGATTGCCTTTGCAAGTCAGGCCAAACTTCAGGCAAAAACAACTGAGGTTTTGCTACACTTCAGGCAAAACATTCTGAAATTCAAACTTCAGACATAAATTTTTGCTATTTCAGGCCCGTATGTCTGAAGTTACGCAAAAAGTAGGTACGCTTGCACTTTTTTTTTGCAAAGCAGGTATAAGTTAAAAGGTGACCCAAAAAGTGGATATATATGCAAATGCCCCCACGAAGACAAAGCATAGAAGAAGCTGTAGAATAGTGCCATGTTATATGGAGTGAGCAAATTGGAAAAGATACACCAAGATAACAAATGTCGATGTTTTTAGAACAAACGCCATGTGCAAAGTAATTGTTGCGCTAACAAAATAATTCATATGAATTAATTAAAAAGAAAAGCTTGCAAAATTAAGTAAACATTGGGTATATCAGAAACGGTAATTTAGTTAGATCATAAACTTTTATATTAATGATAATTAGGTTAGTAGAATTGTTACATTAAAAATCAAAACAAGGAAGGTAAGCATAATATTGTGAACTACAAGGGAGATCAGTGTTACAGAGCCAGACCTGAGGGGAGGTCTATGAAATTATCAATTAATTTAAAGTGCTAAGAGTTCCTAAATATCTACTACCAGTGCGGACAATCAGGATGAATCATTAACGATCACTACACTTTATCACTCAATATTATTTTATGAAATTTGAGATTCTATACTCCTACTTTTTCTCCATTAGCCTTCTATTGAAATATCAACAAAATCTTTCCTGCAAATGTCAACAAAATTGTGAGAGACAACTGACAATCTAATATGAACGTCGTAAAGAAGTGTTTACAATACCAAGGCGGATTCAGGATTTAAATTCTATGGGTTCAACTTTTAAGATTTTTAACATTGAACCCATTATATTTTTAAAGTTATGGGTTCAAATCTATTATTTTTGAAATTTTAATGAATTTTTACACATAAATTTCTACTCCACGTCGAAAGATATGGATTCAATTGAACTCATAACTACCACATTGCATCCGCCTCAGAGTACACGTAAGGCGTATAAAAGTACAAGTCCGGAATTTTGCATCTAAACCCCTTATCTGCCAAGTAGAAACTCTTAACTGAACATGAGCAGCTCCCTGTCATCAAGCCTTTTAGTTTTATATTTTAATATAACAATTCCAACTTGCGCACACCTTGACAATTCTGCTATCTCCCATCAACACAAGTACCGAGTAATTTTGCACAAACGTTAGGTACACTGAGAAAAAATTACCTAGTGTGTTTGGTCTATGCTAAAATTTAAGCATCGTTCATCCATGATTTTCACCCACTTCATTGAGGTTACGCCACACTCTTAGGTGCAGCCATCAGACCTTTTATTAAACCCAGAATCTCATTACGCATCGTAGAAACAGCACTTGGACTGACCTGTTCCAAATGGGAGAACCACAGAGTATCTGCATCTTGGGTTCCACTGCTAACATACCATTGACAGATGACTCGTGCAATCGCTAAGACATACACGCCACAATCATAACCATTCACTTGCTTTGGCGTGCCTGGACATTCTTTGTAAGTGGCGCTGGATGCTGTATAAGGAAGAGTAACCTCGTATACTTGTTTGGCGTGATACTCATTCATGAACCCGTAGATGCTGTCATGATGTACAAATACATTGGAGTTTCTCTCAAAAGCCAGCAAGCTCCAATGACTCCCACCTTCAGCCATGCACACATCAGAATTATCGTTGATAGGTAAGAGAATCAACTTCCTTCTAGAAAGATGAAGTGGTTCCATGAAATCCTTCAGGCTTGCAGGATCAGGACACTCTTTAATCCAGAAAGCAATAGAAGGTGGTACCAGCAATATGACGTCAGATGGAAAGCTTGAGCTAAGATAGCTAAAATAGAACTCAATGATGCGGTCATTGAGATAATTAGGACCATTGAGAATGTCCAAATCTGATCGCCTGAGAACAACATCGTTGTAGCCGAGAATCTTCTCATCTGCTTTGGATTTAGCCATGGTGCCAATGCAAACTCTATACATAGTACTCAACAATTACATACAATAAGAAGAGATTGGAAGGAAATAAAAAAGAGTGAAATAAATTATCATTCTGATCAATCAGATTAGAATTTTCTTAGTACGACATCAATAGAACTGCTTATGATTTAAAAATAAAATCATCACACCACCAATATTTTGACTGAAATACCAAGTAAAAGGAAACATAGAATGTCCATAAACATTTAGGAGAAGAGATTCTAAATCTCCAACCAAATCAAACTTCAACCATACAAAACCTCCTCCAAATCCTTTGTCTCATTATTGTCTGTTTTATTATCATTAAACAGCTATTTTTTTAAATTCCGCACTACCCCAACTTTCAAACCTTAAATGTAACCCTTCAAAAGCTATTTAGTTTTTTCTTCCAAATGATGGATCCGAGTCGGACCATTATGATTTCTATTGACACCCTATGTAGCGTCTGTGTCCCAATCTAGTTGTTCACATGGATGATATTATTATGATTAAGGATTCCCAGGAAGTGATTGAGGTACTAATGCCGCACCACTTTACTAACTTTCATACCACAAAGACTTTGGACAACTTAAGAACTTGTTTGGTATAGAAATTGCTTAGTTAGGCAATTGGATATCTTGAACGAAACCGATATGTCTATCTACCAATTGACTCACCTCATACCTTTAAATTCAGCTTACTAGCTGAGGCTTTAACTAATCTAGGCGGCTACAGGAGATTAATCGTTCAAGTTGTATTGTCTTACCATCACATGTTCTGATGTTTATTTTACTATCTGCAGAATCTGGGATGCAGTAGTACTCATCCTTCAATCTATCAAGAGTAACCTTGTGCAGATACATCTATACGAAAAAACCTAGAAATATTGAAGTTTCTTAATTGTACACGACCTAATAATCTTATATGAGGATCCCTTCTACCATATCACTAACCACCAATCCATAAGTAGTTAGCTCTCTTATTTCTTCATTTTTCACATCAACAAAGCTAATAGATATAATTAACATTATTTTACAATAAGATTTGTAGTCCATTTCATTTGGTGTTTGGTTAATGCATTACACAATTTATCCAAATCAACAACATGATTCAACACACACAATGTAGACCCAACATTACAACAACAACATACCCAGTATTCCCACACCGTGGGGTCTGGGGAGGGTAGTGTGTACGCAGACCTTACCCCTACCTTGTGAGGATAGAGAGGTTGTTTCCAATAGACCCTCGGCTCAGGAATGCAGACCCAGCATTGATAGCTCTAAAAAGAAAACATAATTGATCAAGTCATGTCGTTTTCTCAATTCACAGTTTCTCTTTCAAAAACTCATCAAATGGAAAACCTTATTTCTTTTTTAAAGATGAAATTGTACAACCAGAGCTTTGCAATTAGAGGAAGAAGAAAAATGTTTTTTAGTTCTCATAAGTCAGCAACAACCTTACTTTATATTGGGTACAACTGAACCCAATATTGCGACATGAAAATTCTAAGCAAATATATTATATTATAAACCCATAATTTCAAAAATCCAATACAAGAACTTTAAATCATGAGCCCGCCTCCATATGGATTATTGCAAATGAAACTAATCAGACAACAACAATGATAATAGGAAATATCACCAATTAACTAGTAGAATCAAATATCAAAATTCACAATTTGAAAAACTCATTAAAGGTTCCATCATAAATAAACCAAAACACCCACTGAGTTAAATTTTGAGCCATGAGATTACCTCGAATGGAGCTTGGCCGAATCCTTGAAATCCTCTTGAATGTCACAATTATAAATCTTTAATTAATGAGTATAAAATGGAGTAGTACCGGTGAGGTGAAGGAAGAATAAAGAAGAAAAAAGTGTGGGACTGACAAAGGCACAGGATTAGTATTTTGTTTTTGTTCTTTTTTTTCTTTTGGAGCCACTTATTTGAGATTTTGGCCAAACTCATCCCCTAATATAACTTTAAGTACAATTTGTCCTCTAATTTACAAAACATGAGCACATAGGATCCAGCTAACATGAAACACCCACAACACTATTACGACTAGGGGTGGCAAAGGGGCGGGACGGGGCAGATATGGGACGGGTCGAAAACGGGTAATGAAAAAATGTATAAATTATCCGGCCCTATTTTATACGGATAAAAAGCGGATTAACCAGCGGATAATATGGGTAACCATATTATTCATGGCTTCATGAATATGATCACTTTTGGGAGAATTCCTAGTCTCCCAAATTTCAGGGACCACCAATTTGAGATTTTACAAATGTAAAAGTTAAAACATTAGTTATCCATTGGTTATCCGTTTTCTAAATGAATAATCTGGTTCTTATCCATATTTGACCCGTTTTTAAAAAGTTGATTATCCAACCCATTTCTTAGTGGATAATATGAGTGATTAACTGTTTTCTTGTAACCATTCAGCATCGGTCTTATAAGCTTCCCTCTGTAATATTCGAATGATCTCCCTTCTTTTTTTCCTTCTTATATTCGAATGATCTTAGTATTTAACCAAAGCAAAGTTAGGTGGAGAAATCCATTAGTACCCCTACTCACGCACAACTCCTTTGGCACATGCAACTCTTTTGATTAGTTATATAGGGAAGTATGAGTGGTGTTTGTTTAGTTGGTTATCTTGAGAAATTTGTATCACAACATTTTTTTGATTGTTTTATTGTGTATAGTTAAAATTATACTTTTTAAAATAGTTCCATTCATCTCGATTTCTCTTTGTATTGATTCGATTAATTTTCATAACTTTATTTATAAATTATCACGAAATACATAATCACACTATTATTAGAATATCTCCTTTGTTATGTTAATCATTAAATAATGAAAAGTTTAATCTGACCATGGTTTGTTTGGCAACGATAAAGAAAATCGCAACACGTTGTTGTTCTACCATAACATGATAATCTAAACTTTACAGTGTTGGAGCTGAATTTTAAGATCACTTAGGGTTAAAAGAAATTATGAAGCGTTGAACAGAAGCAGTTACATGTTTGGCTAAAAGTGATAATGCTAGAAATAAGCACTTGTATGTATATTTGGTGAAAGCACTATTTTATTTTAAAATAACTGAAATCCTTAAATCTATTAACATAAAAGTTGAACGGTTAATTACAAGATTTTAATTCTAAGTTAATTTTCTTACAAGTTAATTTATGTCTCAATTGATTTCAAATTTTAAATTTATTAGATAAAATTATTTTAATTAAGGAGAGATCTTTTTTTTTCTTTTGCACATATCGTTGGTGTATATTTATATATATGTTCCATAGCTAGAAATTAAACACCAAAATTCACATGCTTCTCTTAAAATTTTAACTATGTTATAAAACAATAAAAGTAGAAGAACAATATTGCAGAGAAAGAGAGAGAAATGATTCTTATTGATTTTGGGATGAATTACAATGGAATAGAACCCTCTATTTATAGGGAGAGGCTGACTTAGCCACCAAGTAATAAACCCTAGAATCTCTCTAAATATAGACATTCACCATAGATACAATTCTATTTATAACACTCCCCCTTGAATGTCTATTCAACAGATAATGTGCCTCGTTAAAACCTTAATTAAAATAAAACCCAATGGGAAAAAAATTCTAGAAAAGGAAAAAGAGTACACATATCTAACAATACACCTTTTGGTTGCCTCGTTAAAAACCTTGCAAGGAAAACCCAGTGGGATAAAACCTTGTAAGGGAAAAAGAGTACAACGCGTATTAACTCCCCCTGATGAGAGCATCAATTCACATCCTTGAGCCTTCACATTCCAATCTTGTGCACATCTTCAAAAGATTATTGGTAGAGATTTGATGAACAAATCAGCCATATTAACTTGAATGAATATATTGCACCTTGAAATCATCATTCTTGATAGAGATGAATTGTCTTCATATAATGTCGTGGAATGACTTTTCAATATTTCCATAGAGGTATTCTCGCTATTACGTTATCATGCTTATAGTTATAGCAAGATACATTTGTGCACAAATTGCACTAGGGATGTAGTACTTCTTGACCATGAATTCTATATGCTTTAAGCAATTTAAATTCTTCATGGATTGTCATATAAGTTAAATCGTATAAGCCATATGAATGAACTTTAGATGCATATCAAGTTTTTATGTCATGCTAGACATATAGGATGAATAAAGGTGATTGCACACACCATTGACTTTATACTTTCAAGTGTTTGAACTGCAGGTCCAAAACAACATTTCTTTCATATGAAACCAGTTCTACTTGAATTGTTTCTCTATCATTTGGCCAATATTTTTGTGTCTGTATTTGACAGATTTAAGATCCTCATCTATACTTAACGCTATGATAGATGTCGTCGACAAACTTTATATATCGGTTCCAAGACATAACATAAAGATCTCTTTATTCATATTTTCAGGTACCTGAATCTCTCTTGAGATTTTATGAAGTGTTATGTCATGTGATCTTCTAGATCACTTGCCTCCTTTGTTATAATCATTTAGATCATTTGCTCATCTTCTTTATCAAGAAGTTTATTTGAAACCGATTTGCCTATACGCTTTAAGCGTACCATAGACTTTGTCCTTCTAGGACTTAATAGGAGCATTTGCAATGAGAATATAGTTACTTTCTTTGGGCCAGCAAATGCGTCTGGCATGCTTTGCAATATATTGCAAATGAATTATCCTTTTATGAACTTCAAGTTCATATTATCTTATTCGAGGATCTAGATGTACAAATGATAATTCATTCCACGTAACTTTTTCTCAACTGTTTATCATGTCTCCCCCTCATGTTAGAAAAACTAACTTGTTACCTCAACTTTGAGAATCCACCGTTGTGCGTTATGGAGTTAATCAAAATATACACTGCACATCAATAATAATAAGGGAATTATTTGGTTCCTGACCTTGAACCACTTGTGAGGGGAGAAAATAATATACTTTCGTATGTAACGTATATCAAACTGATATAGATAGCTTTGTTCTCATAAGCAATTGTTTAGCTATTAAGTAGAGGCACTTAATAAATCATTTTGCTAAACCAACTGTGATGTAAACCAACTTATCAAGATGAACTTCTTGAATAGAAAATCTGGAAATTATGCTCGAAATTAAATTATTGAGCAAGTTACCGCAAACATCGCCAGGTTGCGGGTTATTAATAATCGCACATGTAACCATCTCATAGATGCATCTTATGTGGTATACATGGCAGATGAATGGGCCCATATTCACCTTTGAAATTTCCAGCATTCATGGGATTCAATCCCAATTTTAGTTGGTCAATTAATTATTTAGAACAAGCAATATAAGAGAATTCGTAAAGAACTTTCTAGTTCTTTAATATTTACCCATGTGAATTCCCTTTTATTTTTGCACATCATACTTAAATTGATACGGGTAAACCAATTATGCCAACTGAATAAATTATCAATATTGATAAACTTCAGATTTATACCATGACGTGTGCAATTATCAATAAACTCTAAGTTTATTATGATATGGGTTTTTATATCAATAAATATCCATTTTATTGTGGTATTCTTTTATTTGTGTAGTACAAACTGGAGAATAAAACGGGTTGCTTTTCACATACATATTATCCCGCTACAAGATGTAGTAATAGAAGATATTAAATCTTTCCTTTATTTATAGTCTCAATATAATCAACCGTTTTCGCGTATACTTTGGAAACTGAATAAGTTTCTTTGAGACTTACTACAACACAATACCTTATTGGTAATTAATCGTGTTTCTCCAAAATAGTATAATTGACTCTTGCAGAGTTCTCAATTAATTTTGTAGCACCACATATTCATCAACACCCATATGATGAATATCTCTTTTAAAGAGAAAGTTATACCATTGTGGTTATGGTCAAAATTATATGCAAGATCTGTTTCTTGCATTACCGTTGACTTTTAATAATCACAATGCCAAAATATTTTGGCGTACAATAGGTACGTGAACAATGACCATTCATGCCATAATAATGATATTATTTTCTTATATCATCTCAAACCTCCTTCTAGAGGTGAGTGTGGTATATACCACTAGCACGCTCATATTCTTCCAAAAATGAATATGTATTCATAAATCAGATGTTGTCACATTCACATCATGAATGGACCATGATCATCTATATGTGCTTTATAAAATCTCATGTCAAATCGATGACAAATATTACTTTCAGAGAGTGAAGGATTATTTTGAGAATCCTTATTATTCTCATTATCACAATGATGACGATTATAATTTCGTCTATTGCCACGTCCACATCCATTGATACATTCATAGTGATAATTTTGTCTTCTTTCAGACTTATCACATACTGCTATCACATTCTCTTAAGGGAATGAGAATGGAGCAAATTCAATGGGACGTGTTTCCACTTTTTGTGCCCATAATCATACATGCATTTGATCATGGCAAGACATAGAAACTTTTACCACTTCAGGTGGTTATAATTTCTTACAAACTCCATTAGAGTTGTAATCAAAATTTATTGTCTTTGCTTGTATTTAAAACCAAATTATAGAATAAAAGAGAAAAATACGGTAAAATACTTACCTTAAATCCAGAATTTAAGCATGAAGGAAATTCATATAACAATTGACAATCATTATGATCAATCCCAAAGCTTCTACTCAATTGGTTAGAGTCTCGTGCTGATAACGTGTTATAAAACAATAAAAGTAGAAGAACAATATTGCAGAGAAAGAGAGAGAGAAAGGATTCTTATTGATATTGGGATGAATTACAATGGAATAGAACCCTCTATTTATAGGGAGAGGCTGACTTAGCCACCAAGTAATAAATCCTAGAATCTCTCTAAATATAGACATTCACCATAAATACAATTCTATTTATAA